CGCTTTACATGATGAGCAGCAGCTCCTCAACATTCTCCGACAATGAGCCTGACAGATTTCCTCCTCCTCCACTGTTTTCGTTTCGGAGGCTTCAGCTATCTTCTTCAGGAGAGAACAAAAGAGTCAGAGACAAAGAGAGCATGAGAAAAGGGGGAGATTTCTCTCCCCAAACTCCTTACGGGGTCCTTGCTGCGAAATCACATTCATCCGGTGCTATACCAGCTGCACTGGCTCCCGGTGGAGTACAGGATCAGGTTTAATGTGCTGGTTTTAACCTTTAAAGCCCTATACGGCCTAGGATCCTCGTACCTACAGGACCGCCTCTCCTGGTATGTCCCACTTACGATGGGGGACTTACGATCTTCAAACAAAAACATCCTGAAGGTCCCAGACCACAGAGAGGTTAGGCTGGCCTCAACCAGAGCCAGGGCTTTTTCGGCTGTGGCTCCAATCTGGTGGAACGCTCCATCACAAGAAACTAGGGCCCTGTGGCACTTGACATCTTTCCGCAGGGCCTGCAAGACAGTGCTGTTCCACCAGGCCTTTGGCCAGGGCACAGCCTGACTCCCTCCTTTGGCAATCCTCACTGAACTCTAGCCCAATGGTTGCCATCAATTTGATTTGAACTGATTTTATAATGAAATGATTTTAGAATGTTGTATTATTTTATTGTTGTTAGCCGCCCTGAGCCCGGCTTCGGCTGGGGAGGGCGGGGTATAAATAAAAATTTTTATTATTATTATTATTATTATTATTATTATTATTATTATAACAAAACAGAAATGTGCATTCCTCGATTTGCTTGCAGAGCATCCCAAGTTGAATCCCTGGAATCTCCAGGTAGGACTGGAACAGACCCCTGTCTGAAACCCTGGAGAGATCCTGGCAGTCAGTGGAGGCAGTGGTGAGCTGGGTGGACCAAGCGTCCTGACTCAGAATAAAGCAACTTCCTGTGTCTCCTATCTGCTTATATAAGTATATAAGGAGGAATTCCTGTGCGTCACGTAAAGGGCAAGCAGAATGATCAGGGGGTGAAGCAACTCCCCTATGAAGTTAGTGGAACGTACTCCTTTGGAACGTGGACTCGCTTTCCTTGGTGGTTTGTAGGTAGAGGTTGGCTGGCCATTTGTCGGGGATGCTTTAGCTGAGATTCCTGCATTGCAGGGGGTTGGACTAGATGATCCTCAGGGTCCGTTCCAACTCTACGATTCTATGATTGCAGTGTTTGGGACTTTTCAGTTCAGAGGAAAGGCGAGTGAGAGCCTGCATGGTAGACCTTTATAAAATTCCACATGACATGGAGAAAGTGGGTGGAGAATAATTCTTCTGCCTTGTAACACTGCAAACTGGTGGAAGCTGAATGTTGGACGATTCAGGAAGGATTTTTAAAAGCCCTTTTTCACCCAGCACAGTGTTAGCCTGTGGAACTCTCTCCCACAGGAGGCAGTGATGGCCACAAACCTAGTAAAGGTAAAGGGACCGCTGACCATTAGGTCCAGTCGTGGCCGACTCTGGGGTTGCGGCGCTCATCTCGCTTTATTGGCCGAGGGAGCCGGCGTACAGCTTCCAGGTCATGTGGCCAGCATGACTAAGCCGCTTCTGGCGAATCACAGAAACGCCGTTTAGCTTCCCGCCGGAGCGGTACCTATTTATCTGTTTGCACTTTGACGTGCTTTCAAACTGCTAGGTTGGCAGGAGCTGGGACCGAGCAACGGGAGCTCACCCCGTTGCGGGGATTCAAGCCGCCAGCCTTCTGATCGGCAAGCCCTAGGCTCTGTGGTTTAACCCACAGCGCCACCCGCATCCCTGTAATGGCCACAAACCTAGACAACTTTAAAAGAGGATTGGGCAGATTCATGGAGGAGGAGGGGACTATCAAAGGCTGCATTTCGCTTGCCCTTTCCTACTCTCAGCTGCTAGGGACTGGTGAACATAATCAATTTCAGTTTCTTTCTGTTCCTCAATTTTCTGCGCTGAAATTCAGCCTGCCTCCTTACTGAATCGCTTCAGTTCTTCATTTTTAATTCCATCTGGTGTCCATTTCTCCTGATCTAGACTTTTTCTGTGTGTGCAAACAATTCTCCCCTGAAATCACACTTGGGGACGAGGATAGGTCATTTGCAGAAGAATATGCACAACTTTAACGCCTTCTTCCCCACCAGCCCCAATGGGCACCAACAGCCAATGGATGCTTCAGGAGTTGCATCCTGAACTGCAGATCCTACTTTGAACTGGGGGTTGGTCTAGGTGTCCTCTGAGTTCCTTAGCAGCAGATGTGGGGTTCTAAGCTTGGGGAAGTGTCTCTACCACCACCAGCGACAAATAAACCCCTCACAAAAGCCTGATTTTTGAGAGAAGCTTTGTTGTAAGACCTTTCCAAAGTTAGTCAAAGAACACTTCATTCTCTCTATAATGAGATTGTCTCTTCCCCACAAAAGACACCCAAAAGCAGCGGCGGGGAGAGAAATGGAGGAGGAGGCAGATTAAAGGAATTGGCCTTATCTGGGGAAAACACAGCACCCGACTGCGAGCAGGAAACTAGCAAGTCACACCGGATTTGCTGTTTTATCACCTGTCTTCTGACAGGACTTCCAAAGAAGAAGCCCAGCTGATTCCAAACACTGCTGCCGCCAAAGAGAGAAAGTGCAGGTTAATCTTGCTCTTAAACTGGTTCCAGGTTCCTGCATATATTGCCAGATTCCTGAGCAGGAAAATGCTTTCCTTGCAGGAGATAACACACAAAGCACCAAGCCAGCCCTATCATTAAGTGGTTTGGGGTGGCTGCCTCAGGTGGCAAATACTGGGGAGTGACGACTATCATTTATTACCTGCTTTCACGCTCAGGTCCCAGGGCAGTTGACAACAATATTAATATTAACAATTGTAAACCACTTACAAGGGACGCGGGTGGCGCTGTGGGTTAAACCACAGAGCCTAGGACTTGCTGATCAGAAGGTCAGCGGTTCGAATCCCCGCGATGGGCTGAGCTCCCGTTGCTCGGTCCCAGCTCCTGCCAACCTAGCAGTTTGAAAGCACGTCAAAGTGCAAGTAGATAAATCTCTGGCGGGAAGGTAAACGGTGTTTTTGTGCGCTGCTCTGGTTCGCCAGAAGCGGCTTAGGCATGCTGGCCACATGACCCGGAAGCTGTTCGCTGGCTCCCTCGGCCAATAAAGTGAGATGAGCGCCGCAACCCCAGAGTCGGCCATGACTGGACCTAATGGTCAGGGATCCCTTTACCTTTTTAAACCACTTACAGTGAGATGTTGGGAGGACAGAGGAACATAGGAAACAGCCTTCCACTGAGCCAGACCCTTGGTCCATCTAGCTCAGTACTGTCTACATTGGCTGGCAGCAGCTACCGGGGCTTCAGGTTTGCAGCGGTGACTCATACAGGGAGGCAACGGGCCGCTTCTTAGGCTCAGCCCCCTTGAACGAACCAGTTATGCTGGTTGTCATGGTGTGATAGTGGCTGATTGGAAGGTGACAAAAAGCCCAAACAATGAGCTGCTCATTTTGATGTGTCCATGGCAGGATGATTGATCACTCTCAGTGCAGATAATACAATAGGGGGGTTGGATGAATCTGTCTCGCTCTGGGCTGACTGGCCTAAGAAATGCATTGCCTGAGGCAATGGGGAGGGGTGGGAGAGTGTCCCCCATGTCCACACCAGGGGACTAGGGGAAGCCTTGCAGCAATAGAGGGAAATGGCCAGAGGGGAATTAAATTCAGTTGATGTTTAAAGGAGAATCCGTCTATTTCACACTTTGCTTTAAAATCTGCAAAATGGAACTCAGCCACCCATAAAAATTCACACTTCTCCGAATTTTGCAACATGTTGCACCACCCAAGTAATGCTTAATATACATAAAAAATGCATATATGACATTAAAGCATGCACGCAAAATGCACCCATTTGTGAAAATAAGAAGGAAAAGTGTGTTCTGCCAGGGAAGATCACTCTGCAAAGAATGTGTCCGTTAGGGGAAAGTGCGTACAGTCATGAGTCTGTCGGGAGAGATTGCCCTGAAAAGCTGTGAACTTTCACAAGAACTTTATTATTTTTTGCTACAAAGTGGGCTTAAGATTGGGAAGTCAAGGAACAGAGAAAGACTGAAATGGGCAGGTTTGCCTATCGATAGTAGGCGCTTCCTTCCAGCATCTGTGGCTTCAGGTGACATGATTAAAGTTTATAAAACTACTCATGGCAGGAGTAGAGAAAGGTTTTCCTGCTTCTCTCGTTTGCACTAGAAGTTGTGGATATCCAATGAAGCCCAAGGTTGGCAGATTCAGGAGTGATAAAAAGAAAGGACTTCTTGACATGACACAGAGTTGACCTATGGAACTCCCCGCTACAGGAGGCAGAGATGGCCACCAACTTGGATTGTCCTAAAACAGAATTGGACAAATTCATGGAGGAGATGGCTGTCAGTGGATGGCTAGCCACAGTCAGAGGCAGCAACGCTTCTGGATTCCAGTTTCCAGAAACCAGAGGGAGATAATACTCTTGTAATACTTGAATCCTATTTGCGGGATGCTGAACTAGATGAGTCCTTGGCTTGGTCCAGCAAGCTCTTCTTAGGACTCTGGGAGGGGAGTCCTCTGACAGCATGGCTGCGTGACCTTCTCTTGAGTTTTATCCCCCCCCCCCAAGTACAGTGGTACCTCTGGTTGCGAACGGGATCGGTTCCGGATGCCTGTTCACAACATGAAAAGAGCGCAACCCGCAGCGGCGCGTCTGTGAACACGCGGGTTGCGATTCGCCACTTCTGCGCATGCGCGTGACATCATTTTGCACTTCTGCGCATGCGTGAGCGGCGAAACCCGGAAGTAACCCTTTCCGGTACTTCCGGGTAGCCGCGGGACGTAACCTGAAAGAACGTAACATGAAGCGGATGTAACATGAGGTACGACTGTTCAGACAACAGCTGGGCCTCGGAACAGGCCCAGAGCCCTGATGCCTGTCAGATACCAGTTAGAAACATGGAGCAACGTGGACCTACCTGTTGAGTTGGTTCGTCGGCTGTGATGGACACGTTGTTGGTAAGAGAGGCCACCTGCAGCGCCTGCTTCCGGGCAGCGAGCAGGATGCGGCAGTAGGTGAAGAGGATGGCGACGGATGGGAGGAAGAAGGTCAGACCCGAGGCGATGAGGGCGTAGGGCAGGCTGACCGCCACGCGGCACTGCCCCTCTTCTTCGGCCTGGAGGGTGGCGTTGAAGGGCCGCGGGCCGAACTCCATCTTGTGCCAGCCCATCTCGATGGGCAGGAAGGAGACCAGGGCGGCTAAGGTCCAGGTGGCCAGGATGAGCAGCACAGCCCTGCAGGACGTCATCCTCAGCTTGTACCTGAGCGGGGAGATGATGAGCAGGTAGCGGTCGAGGCTGATGACGCACAGGTTGAGGATGGAGGCGCTGGTGCACATCACGTCAAAGGCGAACCAGACGGAGCAGAAGGCGCCGTCCAGCACCCAGCGGCCGTAGTGCTGGTTCAGCAACGCCGGCGGCATCACCACCGAGCCCACCATCAGGTCAGACATGAAGAGAGACACCAGGAAGTAGTTGGAGGTGTTGCGGAGCGCCCGCTGGGTGAAGATCAGCAGAATGAGGGAGAAGTTGCCCAGCATGGTCAAGAGGACGATGAAGGCGAGGAAGGCAACCGTCCAAGCGCTGCCGCTCGGCACGGAATATTCCCCACCGGCCGCGCTGGTGTTGCTGCCCCCCAGCTCCCCTTCCATTGACAAGACAGGAGAGCGTGGTGAAAGGGGGGGTTTGCGGCTCGGCCGAACGCTGGCGCTAGGTGATCATCACCGACAGCTCGCCATTCGGAGGATGCAAACGGATTCGGTGCCCTTTTCGCTCTTTCCTTGCTTCTCTTCTCCTCCTCCTCTCGCCTTCCTCCCACTCTTTGCCTGGAGCCAGAGCTGCACAGCGTTCCTCCGCGAGGAGGGAGACCCCCATCAATCATTCAACAGCCTCCGAGCCATCAAGAGGCGAACCGGGAAAGTCGGGGAGGGGAGCAGCAGTAGAAGCCACAATCCTCCAAGCGCTCTCTGCCACCCCCACGGCTCCCCACTTTTGCTCCCTGCAGATCTTCTCCTGGCGTGCGGAAGAAAGCGGAAAGGAGGCACGCTCTCTCTTCTCCCCGCTGCCGTGAATGCGGCTGGCTGGCACCACCGCCGATGCCTCTCCACCACTCCTGCATCTATCTCTCTCGCCAAAAGCTCTGCTCCGTTGCTACAAAGGATGTGAATTTTCTCACCCTGAAGATTTGGCTGGGTGTGGGGAGGGAAGGGAGCACTGAGTGTGCAGCTGGTGTTTTCAAGAACCACATGCCAACTTGTGTGTGTGGCAGAGTTTATTTCCCTCCATGGGCAGTTAAGGCTCCAATCGCCCAGTGCAGCATAGAAACAGTTACTGGGTTGTTGTTGTTGTTGTTTTTAAATAACCCAAAACACAATTGTTAACATTTTCCAAACTCTTCAGAATCCTGGAGTCATTCCCTGGGAATATTTGTAGAAGCAGGGAATGTAACAGGAGTCTGCTGGATCAGGCCTGCAGCCTGCCTTGTCCAACATCCTCTTCTGACAGTGGCCAACCAGAAATGGAAGGGACCCCCCACCCCGAAGGATCATCTAGTCCAACCCCCTGCAATGCGGGAATAACATCTGAAGAATCCCTGGCAGATTTTAACAAAATACCAGAGGCATTTATTTTAGGTTTAGTTGGAGAGGTGTAAATTTGTTTAGGTATGCCACAATGGCTGCAAGGATACTTCTGGCGCAGAAATGGAAGCAGCAGGAAATTCCAACAGTGGAAGAATGGCAGAGTAAGATGGTGGAATACGTAGAATTGGCAAAGCTGACCGGGAAGATCCCAGAATCAGTGCAACGAACTGTTTCAAAAGGACTGGAGCAAATTTGTATTATATATGAAAGAGCATTGTAAACATCTGAAAATGTTTGTAGGTTTAAGTTGAAACGTTTTGTAATGTGAATATAAGAAACTGATTTACATATTTATGCCATTGGAGCATATTCACCCAGTGCTTTTCAAGCTGCACTGGCTCCCGGTGGAGTACAGGGTCAGATTGAAGGTGCTGCTTTTGACCTTTAAAGCCCTTCACGGCCTAGGACCCTCGTACCTACGGGACCGCCTCTCCTGGTATGCCCCACGGAGAGCCTCAAGGTCCATAAATAACAACACCCTAGTGGTCCCAGGCCCTAAGGAAGTTAGATTGGCCTCAACCAGAGCCAGGGCCTTTTCAACTCTGGCTCCGGCCTGGTGGAACGCTCTGTCTCATGAGACCAGGGCCCTGCAGGATCTGATCTCTTTCCTCAGGGCCTGTAAGACAGAGTTGTTCCGCCTGGCCTTTGGCTTGGAGCCAATTTGATTCCCTCCCCCTCTTTCTTTTTTCTTTTTCCTTTCTCCTCCTGTGATGAGGCTGCATTTTAATATTTTAATGTTTCAGTATTTTAATTGTTGTATTTTAATATTGTTTTTAAGTTGTATTTATTCAACTTGTTTTTATTATTGCTTGTTAGCTGCCCTGAGCCCGGCCTTGGCTGGGGAGGGCGGGGTATAAATAAAAAATATTATTATTATTATTATTATTATTATTATTATTATTATTATTATTATTATATAATGAGGTGAAGTACAAAAATAAGATAGAAGTTTAAAAAGTGGTTATAGAAATGCTAAGAATCTAGTAAAGATATCTGGAAGTCAGAAAGAGGGAGGGAAGAAGGTTGTTGCTCAGTATGAGCAAGGTTTCAGGTTACAGAGTTATGTAATAGAATGTGATATGATAAATATGAAAAACTTAATAAAAATTATTATTATTATTTTAAAAAATTAAGAATCCCTGGCATATGGCAGAAGGCTATCCCATCCTTCCCTCAGCTTTCCCTTGTCAAACAGCTCTTGCTCTCAGAAAGTTCTTCCTAATGTTTAGTTGGACTCTCCTTTCTTGCAGTTTGAATCCATTGGTGCCCCATTGGATCTGAGCACAAGCTCATCCTTCCCCACTACAGTTTCCCACAACGGATATTCAGAAGCATCCTTGCGTCTGACTGTAGAGGCAGAGCCTAGCCAACTTGGCTAGTAGTCGCTGATAGCCCTTTCCTTTTCCTAAGCCATCCCGGTTGATGGTTGTCACTGCCTCCTGTGGCAGTGAGTTCCATGGCTAAACTATGCCCTGCATGAGTCTGGAGACACACAAGTTCCCCGACCCTAATGTACAGGACTGCACTGCAAGGAGGAGGTGTGATAGACCAGGCTTGCCAAATCTGAAGCTCTTCAAGGACTGCCATCTCCCCAGAGCTCCAGCCAGCATTGCCTACCCCCCAAAAAAAAAATCTGGAGGAGTTCCCCATTCCTTCATTAAAAGAAGGCAGAGTTGTGACCGGGGGTGGCGGAAGCGAAGGCAAGCGATGGTCTGGTTCAAGAATGGAGAACGTGCAGCCCTCCAGAATTTGCTGGGCTCCTGATCCCCGGAGCTCCAGCCAACATTGCCTTTGTTGTTGTTTAGTCGTTTAGTCGTGTCTGACTCTTTGTGACCCCCTGGACCAGAGCACGCCAGGCACTCCTGTCTTCCACTGCCTCCCGCAGTTTGGTCAAACTCATGCTGGTAGCTTCAAGAACACTGTCCAACCATCTTGTCCTCTGTCGTCCCCTTCTCCTTGTGCCCTCCATCTTTCCCAACATCAGGGTCTTTTCCAGGGAGTCTTCTCTTCTCAGGAAGTGGCCAAAGTATTGGAGCCTCAGCTTCACGATCTGTCCTTCCAGTGAGCACTCAGGGCTCATTTCCCTAAGAATGGATAGGTTTGTTCTTCTTGCAGTCTATGGGACTCTCAAGAGTCTCCTCCAGCACCAGAATTCAAAAGCATCAATTCTTCGGCGATCAGCCTTCTTTATGGTCCAGCTCTCACTTCCATACATCACTACTGGGAAAAGCATAGCTTTTACAATACGGACCTTTGTTGCCAAGGTGATGTCTCTACTTTTTAAGATGCTGTCTAGGTTTGTCATTGCCTACCCACCCCCAAAAAAATATCTGGAGGAGTTCCCCATTCCTTCATTAAAAGAAGGCAGAGTTGTGATGGGGAATAGCTAGGGGCAGTGAAGGCAAGTGATGGCCCAGCTCAGAAATGGGGACCTGTGCCTTCCGTGCATTGTTGGGACTCCAACTCACTCCAGACTCAGCCGGAATGGCCAACAGTCAGGCCTCAGGTTCCCCTATCCTGGCGTGGCAGGATGCAGCCTGGTCTGATCCGGCAAGGCCGTTAACGATGCTCTTACGAAACGAGCTTTGGCCCTTCTGCCGTTTTTATGGACGTTCTTGCCCTCCGTTCAACCTGCGTTAACTTGCCCTCACCTCGGATTTTTGCATCCTGCTCAAACCGCTCCAGGGCTGCCCCGAGGCTCTGGCCTCCCGTTTCCTGGAGAAGCAGACTCAGTGGCCTCTTGTAAATCTCTCCCTCCTTGCAGTAACCAAGAAACAAATCTGCCTCATCTAGAATCGGGCCTTTCCTGGCTGCAGATGCCTGCTCGGCTGCTGAGGTGCCAACCTTCCCCGTTGGCAACCTGTTGTTGTTTAGTAGTTTAGTCGTGTCCGACTCTTCGTGACCCCACGGACCAGAGCACACCAGGCACTCCTGTCTTCCACTGCCTCCCACAGTTTGGTCAAACTCATGCTGGCAGCTTCGAGAACACTGTCCAACCATCTTGTCCTCTATCATCCCCTTCTCCTTGTGCCCTCCATCTTTCCCAGCATCAGGGTCTTTTCCAGGGAGTCTTCTCTTCTCATATGATGGTCAAAGTACTGGAGCCTCAGCTTCAGGATCTGTCCTTCCAGTGAGCACTCAGGGCTGATTTCCTTCAGAATGGATAAGTTTGATCTTCTTGCAGTCCAGGGGACTCTCAAGAGTCTCCTCCAGCACCATAATTCAAAAGCATCAATTCTTTGGCGATCAGCCTTCTTTATGGTCCAGCTCTCACTTCCATACATCACTACTGGGAAAACCATGGCTTTAACTATACGGACCTTTGTTGGCAAGGTGATGTCTCTGCTTTTTAAGATGCTGTCTATGTTTGTCATCGCTTTTCTCCCAAGAAGCAGGTGTCTTTTAATTTCGTGGCTGCTGTCACCACCTGCAGTGATCATGGAGCCCAAGAAAGTAAAATCTCTCACTGCCTCCATTTCTTCCCCTTCTATTTGCCAGGAGGTGATGGGACCAGTGGCCATGATCTTTGTTTTTTTGATGTTAAGCAACCTCCTGAAGCTCAATGGCCCAGTGAGCCCAGAACTGGCTCTGTGTTAGGGATGGTGAATATGAGACCTTCCTGGTGTTCCCAAAACCTGTTGCTGCTTCTCATTGGATCTGCTGCCTGAGGCTGCGGGGAGTTGGAGACCAGCAACGCCCTGAGGGCAGAGGTTCCCCTTCCCCGAACTAGACCAGTCGCTTGCCTTTATTGCCCCAGCCGCCTCCGCCACAACACTGGCCATCACCTGGGACTCCTTAGGTAAAGGTAAATTAGCCATGAACTTGGTCCAGTCGCTCTTAGCGTTACCTTCTTTACAGGGTCGTCGTTGTGATGCCCAGCGGGGGGGCGGGGGGAGAAAGGCAGAGAAATCCCTGTAACTCTGTGCTCTTGCGCCCCCTGGAGATAGTTCCTGGCTTCACGCAGGTGTTTAGCAAGAGACACACCTTGACCTTAATCGGAAGAGATTCCTTCCATCAACATTTGTATCAAGAAAATACTCCCTTTCCCATCCCACGGAGCTTTGCTAGTCCCAGAGTGCCACCTGGTGGCCATAGAGGGGGAGGAAATGGGTTTGATTAGCCCCACACACATCCCAGAAATCTATTTCTCCTTTGGCTCCAACATTTGCTCCTTGACGTTCATTTGGATCCAATGTGTGTCCGGAAATAAAGGGCGGTGGAATTGAAAGTCTCGTGTCGCTCAGGGGTGGAACATCTGTTTTGCATGCTGAAAGGTCTCAGGTTCGTATCCCAATGGCATCTCCAGGTAGGGCTGGGAAAGACACACACAAACACACCTGCTATCTGAGATTTTGAAAACCTGCCGCGAGCCAGTGCAAGCAGCGCTGAACTAGCGGACCAAAGTTCTGGCGGAGCTGAAGGCATTCTCCTGTGTTCCTTCATTAAGTGCCCTGCACGCAAAGAGGCTATGAGAAAGGTATGCCATTTGCTTCCCCCAAACTCACAGACGTGGGTGGCACTGTGGGTTAAACCACAGAGCCTAGGAATTGCCAGTCAGAAGGTCGGCGGTTCGAATCCCTGCGATGGGGTGAGCTCCTGTTGCTCGGTCCCTGCTCCTGCCAACCTAGCAGTTCGAAAGCACCTCAAAGTGCAAGTAGATAAATAGGCACCGCTCTGGCGGGAAGGTAAACAGCGTTTCCGTGCGCTGCTCTAGTTTTGCCAGAAGCGGCTTAGTCATGCTGGCCACATGACCCGGAAGCTGTACGCCAGCTCCCTTGACCAGTAAAGCGAGATGAGCGCCGCAACCCCAGAGTCGGCCACGACTGGACTTAATGGTCAGGGGTCCCTTTACCTTTTAAACTCACAGAGGTGCTTTGCTATCTCTGAGCAGGAAAAAAATTGACTTTCCTTTCGGCAGTTGCAACCCCGGAATTGAATGCAGCGCTGCGGCGGCTTCCCAGGGAACTGCAGAGCTACGGCGGCTTCTCTTTTTCTTCTTCTTTTTTTAAAATATTTTTTTATTGGAAATTTATTTACAACATAACATAACCCTCCCAAAACAGAAATCCACCCCCTTCAGACACAAATATAACAAACAAGAAGCATAATTTACAACAATACAAACAACCAAATAAAAGACTTCATTTATCCTGTATCTGGCCTCCTTATTTACTTCTTATAGGCTGTTTCCTTTATGAATAATTATTAAGATTTTCCTAATTATAACTTAAATATCCACAAAGTCTCCTGCAGACATTAATTGAAACAAGTCCAGGTATGAATTTTAGGGCACTGTTTTGTGAAGTGTTCTCTGCATTTCCCCCATGCTTTTTGAAATTCTTGTCTAGTATGATCTCTAATTGGGAAAACTATTAACAGCATGGGAAGAATTATGGAGAAAGACCTGGAAATTTACAGCCTGTGAAGTATTGAGGGAAAATCTAATCAATAACTTTTATCGATGGTACTTAACACCTACCAAAATAGCTAAAATGTATAAGACAAAAACAAATCTGTGTTGGAGGTGTGGTAAAACAGAGGGGACACTTATACATGTTTGGTGGACCTGTGAAAAAATCAAAAGCTTCTGGAACGTAGTATATGACGAGCTTAAAAAAATGTTTAAGTATAACTTTATAAAAAAATACAGAAGCTTTTCGAGAAGATCAGAAAACATTCCTCTATGCCACAGGAGCAGCAAGGATCCTAATTGCTAAAAACTAGAAAAAAGAAACTGTGCCAACAAAAAAATGAATATTGAACTGGCTAGATTAATAGGGTGGCTTCTCATATGAGTGCGGAACTAGGGTGGGTTCCCATTCCCCCTGATAATGCTTTCACCCTATTTGCTCCTGCTACAGCTCTTTCTTCCAGGTCGTAAAGATCCAGGACGGGCCATTCCCTTTTCTCCTCCCACCGCCTTTCAAATTGCTCCCCCAAAAACCACATTTCCCGAGAAAGACTCGCCTCCTTTCTCCCCTTCAACCAACTGATCCTGCAGCAAGGCGTCTCTGCTGTTTGCGAACGTTGCCTCTGGAGACGGGGGAGAAATTTGGTTCTGTTCACCTATCTAACTTAAAGGTAAAGGGACCCCTGACCATTAGGTCCAGTCGTGGCCGACTCTGGGGTTGCGGCGCTCATCTCGCTTTATTGGCCGAGGGAGCCAGCATACAGCTTCCAGGTCATGTGGCCAGCATGACTAAGCCGCTTCCCGCCGGAGAGGTACCTATTTATCTACTTGCACTTTTGACGTGCTTTTGAACTGCTAGGTTGGCAGGAGCAGGGACCGAGCAACGGGAGCTCACTCCGTTGCAGGGATTCGAACCACCAACGTTCTGATTGGCAAGTCCTAGGCTCTGTGGTTTAACCCACAGTGCCACCCGTGTCCCCTATCTAACTTACACTCCCGGAAATCTGGGACCTAAAATGCAGCTTTCTTCGAATTTTGCACTTCCCTGAATTTTGCAACACGGTTTCCCCCCGACCAAAGGAGTGCAGGTGTCAAGGGGAAGCGTGCACCTAGAAATGCACATCTCTGTGAAAATAACAGGCCTAAATGCATTATGTTGGGGAAGGTTGCAAGAATGCCTATATTAGGAGAACTGGGTGCTTTAGAAAAATGCTGATGGGTTTTCAGGAGCTAGGGAGGCTGCAGATCAGGAGGTCCAGGTAGCCAGAGAGACCTCCCAGGCACCTGCATGTCAATCAAAGTTCAGGGGAAGACATCATGAGTTAACACCTCCCCTTATGAGATAACACCTCCCCTGGGGCATGTTCAGATCAGGAAGTGCGGGCAGCCAGGGAGGCTGCAGATCAGGAAACATGGGCAGCTGAGGAGACCTCCTAATGACTGATGTTTTAATGTATTTTTAATATTTTGTTGGAAGCCGCCCAGATAATAATAATAATAAGCTTGTACCAGGATAAGATGTCATGCATTAATTCCTCCTATGGCGGGGGGCAGGTCAATTTCAGCATAAAAAGATCTAAAATGCTGCTGTACCATCGCCTCTCTCTTATGTGTCCAATTCTTCTGCCCCTTGTATTTAGACTCTATTTTAGACTCACAGAAGTTGCTGCACATGACCGACTTAAGTCTGTTACCCGCAGCGGGTCTATTCTGAGTAGGACTTAGAGGGAAGCAGCCCCACATAAATATTGGATTTGCATTCTGAAAGGACTATATTGTCTCACTCGACAAAAGACCCAGAGTGACACGGTATGTGGATGTTGGATCTAATTTATTTAATTAAGAGGGATGAATAACACAACGATAAAAGTGGAAATATATATAACGTGTGTGTGTGTGTGTGTGTGTGTGTGTGTGAGAGAGAGAGAGAGAGAGAGAGAGAGAGAGAAGCCATGAAGAGTGTTGTAGTCAGCAGAGCAAGGAGAGAGGCTGGGTGTATACATAGGCAAGAGTTCGAATCTCACTCTAAACATTCAGTGATTAAGACGTTTAAAAATTCAAGGAAAGGGTGGGCAAGATGTCAGCCTCTTCATCCAATAATCTGACTCACGTCAGATCCAGATTATGTTAAATTCTGGCGGAAAGGGCTGTAGCTCAGTGGTAGAGTATCTGCTTTTGTAGGCAGAAGATCCCAGGTTCGTTCCCCAACATCTTCCAGTAAGTGTGGGAATGTCCTCTGCCTGAATTCCTGGAGAGCCGCTGCCGGTCAGTGTTGGCAATCCTAGGTTGGATGGACCAGTGGTCTGTCTTGGAATAAGACTACCTTCTGTGCACCTCCTCATTGATCCAGCCCTTTAACCATAACCATGAGGACTAGAATCCTTAGGAAAACCAGGGCCCAGTGACAAGAGGGTCTGCTTTGCATTCAGAAAGTCCCCGGTTCGACCCGTCATCTCCAGGTACGGCTGAAACCCTACTGAGCTGCTGCCAGCCAGCATTGACAATATTGAGCTAGATCTGACTCGCTAAAAATGGTCTGGAGCCACCCCACCTGTTTCTTCCCCCTCGCCCAGCGCTCTCCAATAAAATTTCCTTTGCTCCCTTCTATCTTCCGTTCATTAAAGTGCTGCTAGGAAGTCAAACAGGGGTAAGCAAAGTGGTGCTGTCCAGACATTGCTTGACTCCAGCTCCCAGCAGTCCCAGCCAGCATGGCCACTGTGCAAGAATGATGGGAGTTGGAGTCCAGCGACACCAGGAGCGACACGGGCTTGCCAGCCCCGCATTAAAAGAAGGCAGAGTTGTGATGGAGGTAGCCAGGGGCAGTGAAGGCAAGTGAGGGCAGAACTCAAACGTGCAAGAAATGTCTCGCTTCTGCTGCTAAAAAAGCACCAAAGGGGAGAGTCTCTTTTGTCAAAACGGGTTTTTTGGGGGGGTCCAGTCCGGCTCCTCCGAGATCAGTCCTCGATTCCCCAGTGGTAGAACCGGACCCACAGCATCTGTGGTTCCTACACTGCAAGGGGGTCCCTTCCAAGTCTACAATTCTATATGTAGTCTTCACAGAGAAATATCCTGATGAAAAGCCAGAAACCGAGAAGCCGCCTTTGATGTCTTTGTTTGGAGTGTCCGCCAGACCTTCAAGAGGAGACCCCTCTCTCATTTTGCCCCTCCCTCTTCCCTCACCCCCCCAATATATTAGAGCAGTGTGCAATTTCGTCAGTGACACCCTCCCAACCACCCCCTCCCCCAATTCTCTTGCCGGTTGCCAGCTTGTCCCATTGGCCGCCCCCGGTGAAAGGTCCGCCTTCAGCTTGGCCTCTGCTTCCCCACGACGACATTGCCAAGAGCAAAGCATGATGGGTGTTTGAGAGGCGGGGGGAAAGTCGTCAAGGCCTGGGCTGAAGGGGCAGTTCACCCCCCGGAAAGTCGGAGGTCAGTCCTTGGCCTCGTCTTCATGGTGGTGGTGGTTGGAGGCCTCTTCCCCTGGGTGGTGGTGGCCGTAGGGGTGGGGGTGAGGACCCTCAGCTGGCAGGTTCTCGTCGCCGTTGACGTAGACGTTGAGGAGTGCCCCCTCTTGGCTCTGCTCCTTTCCACATGCCTGGCAGCTGCAGTGGAGGATCTTCTCCACCAGTTTGTCCACCCTGGGGATGTCTTCATTGCTGGGGCAGTCCAGTGTCACCTGGCGGAAGGAGAAGACATCAGAACACACAGGAAGAGCTTGGCTGCTGGATCAGGCCAATGGCCCATCCAGTCCAGTCTCCTATTCTCACAGCAGTCAACCTGTAGGAACCCCTCAAGCAGCACCTGAACTCAAGACCCCTCTCCTCTCCTGCGGTTCCCACCAGCTGCTATTCAGAAGCACTGCTGCCTCTTGCCGTACGTAGCTCTCAGGGCTAGCGGCCATCAGTGGCTGCCTCTTCCCGAAATTTGGTTCACCCTCTTTTTTCAGAGAGTCACCACGATCATCTAACATAGAACATCAGTCCTGAAAGACCTACATTGGCTCCCAGGACATTTCCAAGCACAATTCAAAGCGTTGGTGCTGACCTTGAAAGCCCTAAATGGCCTAGGTCCAGTATACCTGAAGGAGCGTCTCCACCCCATCATTCTACCCGGACACTGAGGTCCAGCACCGAGGGCCTTCTGGTGGTTCCCTCACTGCGAGAAGTGAGGTTACATGGAACCTGGCAGAGGGCCTTCTCGGTGGTGGCGCCCGCCCTGTGGAATGCTCTCCCACCAGATGTCAAGGAAATAAACAACTATCTGACTTTTAGAAGACATCTGAAGGCAGCCCTGTTTAGGGAAGCTTTTAATGTTTAATGTCTTACTGTGTTTTAATGTTTGATGTTTTATTGTATTTTTAATATTTTGTTGTAAGCCGCCCAGAGTGGCTGGGGAAACTCAGCCAGATGGGCGGGGTATAAATAATAATATATCATCAACATCTAAGAACATCATGAGCTCTGCTGTTGGGTCAGGTCAAAGTTTCATCTAGTCCAGCTTCCTGTTCTCACAGGGACCAACATGATGCCACTTATGGGAAACCTGCACACAGGATCTGACCATAAGAGCACGCTCACCTTCCTGCTTTTTTTGTAGCAACTGGAATTCAGAATAATTGCTGCCTCCAACCATACAAGCAGAGCATAATGATCACAGTTAGTGAATTTCTCTAATCCTCTTTCTAAAGCCATTGCAGGTAGTGCCCATCGCAACATCTTGTAATAAGAAACTTAAGTCTGGCTACCAGATCAGGCCAGTGGCCTACTTAGCCCTCATCCTGTACTGACATCGGCCAACCAGGTGCAACAGCAACATTCTTCCCAGTTGTGATTCCCACTCTAGCCCCCTACTTGCTGCCCCACAGTGAATCCCCCCTCCACATGAATATTCCATCTATTTATTTATTAGAGAGGGGATGCTAATGGATATTCAGCGGACAGCCCTTCTTGGACGATCGCCGCACAATTTTCCATCCTGAGCGGCATTACTTACCACTTCCCACATGGAGAGGGCTGGCATGCAGGAGTCGCAGTGCACCAGGGACTCGGTGGACTGTGGGAAGGTGTTGGGAACGCTGTAGCTGAAACACTGCCCCAAGCAGGCTCTGCAGACAAGAGGTGAAGATTAGGTAAGGTAAAGGTAAAAGGACCCCTGACCATTAGGTCCAGTCGAGTCTGACTCTGGGGTTGTGGCACTCATCTCGCTTTATTGGCCGAGAGAGCCGGCGTACAGCTTCCGGGTCATGTGGCCAGCATGACTAAGCCGCTTCTGGTGAACCAGAGCAGCACATGGAAACGCAGTAGGTGAAGATTAGGAAGGTGCTAAAAGCCAGCAAAATGAGGGTTGGGTTCAAAATTGGGGAGGGCGGTGTTCAGGAGCGCCAGACTTCCCAAGTGGACTGAGACCATCCCTTGCCTCTTAATTAAGAAAGCAGAAGCATTTTTACTTGGCGTTGTAGGAGATGATATAAATAGAAAGGACTGTAAGTTGTTTCTATATGCAGTGACAGCAGCAAGAATATTATTGGCACAAAAATGGAAGCAAGAAGAACTACCGACGAAAGAAGAATGGAGGATGAAACTGATGGGCTATGCAGAACTAGATAAATTAACAGGAAGGATTCGAAACCTGCGGGACCGGAGATTCTCAGAAGACTGGAGTAAATTTACGAACTATTATTTGAAAAGCAATGGTGATGAACAGATTACGCAAGTAGGTTTGCAAGAAGTTTTGTAAGGTGAATTATTTGAAATATTGCATGAAAGATCATGAGGAGCATTCTTAGTCAAGGATAATTAAAGGTAATATGAAATTAAGAAATGGATAATAAGTGATAAAGAACAGAAAATCATCAGAGGTGTTATGGAAGTCTAAAAATATTGTATAAGATGAGAAGTTATGTTGTATGACTATTGGAACTGATAAGTTAAAAAAATTAATAAAAATGTATATTTTTAAAAAAGAGACCATCCCTTGCCTTCACTCCCCTAGCTACCTCCATCCCAGCTCTGACATCTTTTAATGAAAGGATGGGAAACCTGCAGCTCTTGAAAGGTTTCTCAACTACAACTCTGGCCTCTGGCAATAGGCTGGCTGCATCCATTGCGGACTGAAGTCTGAAAGCAGCTAGAACTAGCCATAACTTGCCTTCACTGCCCCTAGCTACCTTTAATACAGGGAAGGGGACCATTGGTCATGCCGGGCCCAAGCATGGCCAACAGGTGGTGCTAGAGAGCAAAATGGTGTCCTACAACAACTGGAGAACGCCAGGTTCCCCTTCCCCAAACGAGACCATCACTTGCCTTCACTGTCCCTAGCTACCTCCATCATATCTCTGACTTCAGTTGTTTCTGGTCTCCAACTCCCATCTACCCTCACCATTAGGTCTGCTGGTTTTGACTGATGGTTTTGACAACAGCTCAAGGGCCATAGATTCCACATCCCTGTTTTACAACCCTGCTATCTTGGGTTCTCAACATTATTTATTTATTATTCTTTTATTTCGAGCGTTTGTTTGATGTCATAAAATTTATATAGTGCTTGATTGTAAAAACAACAACAACAACAACAACACCCACCTCAAAGCGATTTGCAAAAAGAATAAAACAAAATTATTGGTGAAAACAGTTAAAAACAGCAACTTAAAACATTTTTAAAAATTAAATAACCTAAAAAACATTAGAATACATGTGGGTATTCTACATATCTGCGTAGGCTTGCCTAAACAACAACAATTTTTTAGCAGCCACTGAAAGCAGTATAGTAAATTAAAGAAAATAAAATTATTACAGGGCCTGTCTTATATCAATAGGCAGGGAGTTCCAAAGGCTGGGTGCTGCCATGTTAAAAAATTGAGTTCTTACAAATGTGGAACTATTAACAGTGCCATGTGTGCCACTTTTCGTCACGGCGGAAAATCACAAATCGGTTTACAGCCACGATGCTTTTACTTGTGATACGTTAGCAGGAAGAGGCAGAAGTTAATTTCCAGAGTCGTGCTGGCCAGAGCTGGTGGTGAAGAAATGGGTTTCTGTGCAGTCAGTTTGAAACTGACTCAAAAAACCCCTTTTTCTTATTTCTCCAAGAGAGCATTTCTAAAATGCATTAACAAGCTGTTGAGCAAATGCATAACAAGAACACAGCTGAATAAACAAAGCTCTCTCCTTTATCAGTCACGGCAAAGGATGACCTTGGCTGTTCCAGTGGAGTAGGGATGGCACATCTAGGTCTTATCTTACATTCTGAACACACTTTGACGCACAGACCTAGTTCGGGAACAGTGCCAGAGTGTGTTCTTGGAGTTGGTGACCTCTTGCTCCAAGATAAGAGTATAGGAACAGGAATACACTTTTATGGTCAGAAGTACAGGAAGGAAAACCCTTTTATGGTTAAGAGTACTGGAGCAGGAACATCTGTGATGTCCACCTGCGTGTATAGGCTGACGTGGCTGGATTCCTGGGGAAGGGGGAAGAGGGTGCCTGGAGGATATATATACTGCATGAAATTTCTAATTTATTTGGACTTGCTGTGGACTGACCACGCAAGTGCCTTTCTGCTACTCCGGAGAGCAGAAATAAAGAACTCTTTCTCTGAACCAACCCTCAGTGTCATTTGACTTCCTTCCTCCTGTCCAGGAGCAACGCTCACCCTACCAATTGGTAAAGTCCAATAAGGCTACAGTGGAAGTTGGGAGTGCGACACAGCTTGGGGAAGATGGCTATGGGAGATCTGGAGATGTTGGATCCATTGGCCCCGTACTGTACCTGTTCTGGATGGATTTGGACTCGCAACCGCTGTGCCCAACGATCTGGGTGATGTTCTTCGCCTCGCACCAGGCGCTCTTGTCGGGAAAGAGGGCCAGCTTGCTAATGGGAGGAGGCGCCGCCAGGATCAAGGATGGGACGAGGGTGGTCACCAGGAGCTTCAGCATCTTGGCCTTTTCTGACAAAATCCTAGAACTGGGGGAAAGGGGTTCGAGAAGGATAAGAAGCATCAGAACACCAGAAGAATCTGCATTATATATTCGTATCGTAGCGTAAAACCTTTATTGGCATCACCTACAACATCCAAAACAAATCAATACAGAATCACCACTACTTTCTTGGGCTCCATGATGACTGTGGATGGTGACAGCAGTCACGAAATTAAAAGACGCCTGCTTCTTGGGAGAAAAGCAATGACAAACCTAGACAGCATCTTAAAAAGCAGAGACATCACCTTGCCAACAAAGGTCCGTATAGTTAAAGCTATGGTTTTCCCAGTAGTGATGTATGGAAGTGAGAGCTGGACCATAAAGAAGGCTGATCGCCGAAGAATTGATGCTTGCTTTTGAATTCTGGTGCTGGAGGAGACTCTTGAGAGTCCCATGGACTGCAAGAAGATCAAACCTATCCATTCTTAAGGAAATCAGCCCTGAGTGCTCCCTGGAAGGACAGATCCTGAAGCTGAGGCTCCAATATTTTGGCCACCTCATGAGAAGAGAAGACTCCCTGGAAAAGACCCTGATGTTGGGAAAGATGGAGGGCACAAGGAGAAGGGGATGACAGAGGAAGAGATGGTTGGACAGTGTTCTCGAAGCTACAATCGTGAGTCTAACCAAACTGTGGGAGGCAGTGGAAGACAGGAGTGCCTGGCGTGCTCTGGTCCGTGGGGTCACTGTTAAGTCGTGGGTTGACATAGCAGCCGGCACAGCGATTTCTTCAAGTAGCTCTTTATTATGGTAAGCTGGAATAGAACTGCCTGCGAACAGCTCAGCCGGCCTGTATTTATAGGCAGCCGGCTGTCAACATTGTAACCACAACAGCCCAGAGTTCCCGCCTAAAATAACTGCCGCGGACCTGAGTGAAAACTATCTACAGACCTGAGTGAAAACTATATACAGTATCCCCCTGTTGGCCCAGGGTGAAACTACACTACATAACACCCCTCCCCACCGAGATAAGGCGTTAGTTACAATCGTAATGGTTTCCTTATATACAGCACTACGCGTAATGGTTCCATTAAGCACAAAAGCATATCGGTTACATTTCCCATACTTAGACCAACAGTGATACCTGTCCAACAACATAGTCCTTTAAATAAGTTGGGCGCTTGGAAACTCTGCCAGACCGCCGGGGACTGGTAGCCAAGTCCGGAGGGCCACACAGTTCTCGCTGAGGCTGTGGTGCGACCCTAGGTGGCGTTGGAACCAACTCCCCTGGATCCGCTGCTGTGGGTGGAGCCTCCGCAAGTGGAGGTTCTGAAACGGCTTGGTTCGGCTCCACGCTGGCAGTTTGTGAGGGAGGTGTAGGTGGGGCCTCGCCATCTGTACGTGTCTCTTCTGGAGCCGCAAGCGCAGTTGGGGGCACCTCGGTAGTGTCCAAGTCCCAACCCTGCGCCTAAGCTGGTCTATGTGCCGTCGCCACAAGCGTCCGTCTTCGAGTGCCACCTGGTACGAGCGAGGTCCAGTGACTCCCACTACTGTGGCTGGCACCCAAGGGATGTCCCCCACATAGTTCCGGGCAAAGACCTGGTTTCCGGGGACAAATGACCGTGGTGCGTTGGCACAGCCTGGGGGTTCAGCCACGGCAAAGTCTGGGTGTAGCCGGTCGAGCGGTGACCTGAGGCGGCGGCCCATAAGCAGTTCCGCAGGACTCCTCCCTGTGGCCGCATGAGGGGTGATGTGTTGCGCGAACAAGTATTCGGCGACCCGCTCCTGCCAGTCTCCCCGGTCCAGGCACGCCAGTGCCTCTTTTGTCGAGCGCACCATTCTTTCCGCTTGCCCGTTGCTGGATGGATGAAAGGGTGCCGTTAGGGCATGGCGGATGCCCAGTCCCAAAAGATACCGCTCAAACGTGCCTGACGTGAACTGCGGTCCGTTGTCAGAGACAAGGACATCAGGACACCCATGCGTTGCAAACAGGCCTCGCAGCACCCGGATGACAGCTTCGGTAGTGGTGGAGGGCATCAGGGCGACCTCCAGCCATTTGGAATAGGCGTCCACCACTACCATAAAGGTCCGGCCGTGAAAGGGGCCAGCCAGATCGATGTGCACCCTCGACCAGGGTGTCTTTGGCGTCTCCCAGGTGTGTCCCTTAGCTGCCGGTGGTGCAGGCCTCGACTCCTGGCACGCTTGACAGGCAGACACCCAGGCAGTGATGGCATCGTCCATATTAGGCCACCAGACGTAACACCGAGCCAACGCCTTCATTTTGACAATTCCCGGGTGGCCAACGTGCAGAGCCTCCAGGACGCGCTGACGGAGTCCCTGGGGAATCACGACGCAGTCTCCCCACAGCAGGCAGCCACGATGAGCTGAGAGTTCATGTTGTCTGGTTGCGAAGGGCTGGAACTCCGATGCAAAAGGCCCTTGTGGCCACCCCCTCCACACCCAGTTGAGCACCCGGCTGATGGTGCGATCCTGGGCAGATGCGGAGGCCACAGTGGCAGCCGATACAGGCGCTGCCGGAAGATCCTCAATCAGAAGGAGCGATGAAGCTGGAGCCGGGTCTTCCACAAATGCTGGAAGAGGGCAACGGCTGAGGGCGTCGGCATGGCCCATCGATTTCCCCGGGCGATGGATGAGCCGGTAGTGGTAGGCAGCCAGGAAAACAGTCCATCGCAGCATGCGTGGTGAGAGGACCGGTGGAGTTGGACGATCACCGGCGAGGAGGCCCAGGAGTGGCTTGTGGTCAGTGATGAGGTCAAAAGTCCTGCCATAGAGGTATTCATGGAACCTCTTCACTCCAGCCACAAGTGCCAATGCCTCCTTGTCGAGCTGGCTGTAATTCCGTTCCGTCGGAGATAGTGTCCTGGAAAAGTAGGCGAGCGGTGCTTCTCTTCCATCTGGAAAACGGTGACTAAGGACAGCACCGATGCCAAAAGGTGAGGCGTCGCAGGCAAGGACCAGCGGCCTGGATTCACTGTACTGTACCAGCACACTGTCTGAAGAAAGGAGAGCCTTGACCGCGTTGAAGGCCGCCGTCTCCCGATGACCCCAGGCCCAAGGCGTCTTAGTGCTAAGGAGTCGGTGAAGAGGCTCAGCCACTGTGGCTTTGTGGGGCAGGAACATGTTATAAAAGTTCAGCAGTCCCAGGAATGCCTGCAACTCCGTTTTGTTCTTTGGGGTGGGGGCCTGCTGAATAGCGCGGATCTTGGATGTGGTTGGATGAAGACCGGAGGCATCGATAAGATAGCCCAGGAACTCTACCTGTGGAACGGCGATCTGGCACTTCTCCCTCTTTACCTTGAGCCCGGCCTCCTGGAACCTGGTCAGCACGGCACGGAGGCGCTCGAACAGCTGCTGGTGTGAGTCTGCAGACACCAAGACGTCATCAAAATATGGTACCACGCCCGGAAGCCCTTGCAGGAGACGCTCCATAAGGCTTTGGAAGATGCCAGGAGCCACACTCACCCCGAACTGCAACCGGCGGCAACGGAATGCCCCCCGGTGGGTGACAATCGTCTGGGCTTCCGCAGTGGCATCATCGACTGGCAGTTGTTGATAGGCTTGGGCAAGGTCCAGCTTAGCGAAGACCTTACCCTCACCCAGGGAATGCAGCAGGTGTTGGACAACAGGAACCGGATAAGCGTGCTGCTGAAGTGCCTTGTTGATCGTGCACTTGTAGTCAGCGCAGATTCTCACCGACCCATCTGGCTTGACAGGCGTGACGATGGGGGTTTCCCACTTTGCGTGGTCAACCGGCTCCAAAACTCCTTGGGCGATCAGTTTGTCCAGTTGTTCGTCCACCTTAGCCTTGAGAGCAAAGGGAACCCGGCGTGGCTTTAGCTTGATGGGGGCAACTTGTGGATCAAGGCTAAAGGAGATGGGCGTACCTGTATATTGGCCCAAGGTGCCGTCAAAAACCTCGGCAAAGTCTTTGACCAGACCCTCAGTCTCTGCGTTAGAGATGCAGTTGATGCCGGTGACTTCCAGGCCGAGGGCATCAAACCAGTCTAGCCCTAGGAGGCTTGGCCGCTGACCTTCGACCACCACCAACTGGAGCAGGCCCGAAAAATCCTTGAAAGCGATCCGGAACCGGCCAACGCCTACCACGGGAATGTCGTTTCCCTGGTAGTCTCTCAGGTGTACGCGGTGAGAGTCGAGTTGCCTTTTGGACACTCTGGGTACCAGTCTTTTGATGGTGCTCCATGACACGATGGACAGGGCAGACCCGGTGTCGATCTCCATGTCACATGGAGCTCCTTCAATGAGCACTGTGACGTTCAGCTTGCGTCGCGTAGGCGAGTCGGTTTGGCCAATCGTGGTTCTAGACGGGCAGCGGCAGTTGGTGAGAGCGAAACAACTTTCCTTGGCAGACTGGAGTGAAGACTTGGACTTGCGAGTCGATGAAGGGGGGGTGTCAGACGGAGCCGATCGGCAGACCTTAGCGATGTGGCCCCTTCTGGAACACTTCCTACAGATGGCGTCTCTGAATCGACACTTGGCACGGGAATGGTTGCCTCCGCAGCCAGCACATTCCGGTTGGCCCTTGGACTTCTGTTGGAACTTCCTGCACTCCCGCTTTGTCTGGTGCACGTCATCGTCTTCACTGGAGGATGCCTCATCACTGCTGGCCTCTTCATGATGCACCGGAACTGGCTCCCTAGCAAGACGCGGGCTGCTGGACTTGCGGATCTCCTGGGCGGAGCGTTCAGCAGCTTCTGAGGCCACAGCCTCCTCAATGGCTTTCTGTAGCGTGAGGTCTGGCTTGGCTAGGAGGCGCCGTTGCAGATGGATGTCCCGGACCCCGCAGACGATTCGATCCATCAGGGCATCGTCTTAGTCTCGGAACTCACAGTGCATTGCAGCCTGTCGCAGGGCGGTGGTGTAGTTGTTGATTGACTCCCCCTCTGCCTGGTTCCGGTGGTAGAACGCATGGCGGGCAGCAATCTTGGACGGCTTTGGTGCGTAGTGGTTGCGGAGCTTCTCTTGGATCGTGTCCCATGGTGTTGCCTGGACTGCTTCAGGTGCAACCAACGCTCGGGCCGTCTCAAACACCTCAGGCC